TGACCAGGCTGACACCACTCACCTTCCCTCACTGATGCATGACATGTGGATTTGCCTTCCCTGTCCACGACTGCACACAAAGCACCTGCAGAGACAAGAAAAAAGCACACTCAGAGACACCTCACAGCCACAGTGTACCTGCTGCAAGACCTCTCTCTTCCCAGCTCCGTTACGTCAGCTGCTCACCAACTCTAACTGAGATTCTTCACTCACAGTGCCACAGCAAACTATGCCTGCACCACACAACACACACTACATAGGCTACATTGTTTAAGACACATGAGCTGGAATATTCCTGCCCAATAATCAGTCGCATCACACAGGAAGGATGCCACACACTCCTAGAAACCAAACCTAGCAGTCCTGAGCAGCTCCCCACCTCCTCCTGCCAACCACGCTCAGCACACACACTATTTGCCCCTCAAAAAAACAAAGTTAGAACATACACACACACACACAAAAAAAAAAAACAAAAAAAAACTGAGCTCTGCACATGCACACACAGCAGCCTCAGCACAGGTAATCCATGACTTACCCTTTGCAGATGAAAGGGGTAAATTGGTGAAAAGTGGTGGAGTTGAACTAAGTGAGATGGTTTAGTGGAGGACTTGTTAGTGTTAGGTCAGAGGTTGGGCTTGATGATCACAGAATCACAGAATTGTCTAGGTTGAAAGAGACCTCAAGATCGAGTCCAACCTCTGACCTAACACTATCGCTAAGTTCAACATTTAAACATCTTTTAAAGACCTCCAGGGATGGTGACTCCACCACTTCCCTGGGCAGCCCATTCCAATGCCTCACAACCCTCTCAGTAAAGAAGTTCTTCCTAATATCCAACCTAAACCTCCCCTGGCACAATTTTAGCCTGTTCCCCCTTGTCCTGTCATCAGGCACATGGAAGAACCCCCACCTCACTACAGCCTCCTTTAATGTACTTATAAAGAACAATAAGGTCGCCCCTGAGCCTCCTTTTCTCCAGGCTGAACAAACCCAGCTCCCTCAGCCACTCCTCGTAGGACTTGTTCTCCAGACCCCTCACCAGCTTCGTCACCCTTCTCTGGACTCACTCGAGCACCTCCATGTCCTTCTTGTAGCGAGGGGCCCAAAACTGAACACAGTACTCGAGGTGCGGCCTCACTAGAGCTGAGTACGAGGGGACAATCACTTCCCTAGCCCTGCTGGCCACACTGCTTCTTATACAAGTCAGGATGCTGTTGGCCTTCTTGGCCACCCGAGCACACTGCTGGCTCCTATTCAGCCGACTGTCCACCATCACTCCCAGGTCCTTCTCCGCCAGGCAGCTTTCCAACCACTCATCTCCCAGCCTGTAGCTCTGCTTGGGGTTATTGCGCCCCAGGTGCAGGACCCGGCACTTCGCCTTGTTGAATTTCATACAGTTGACCTCAGCCCATCGTCCAGCCTATCCAGATCCTCCTGCAGAGCCTTCCTACCCTCGAGCAGATCAACACACGCACCTAACTTGGTGTCATCTGTAAGCTTACTAAGGTTGCACTCAATACCTCATCCAGAACATTGGTAAAGATATTAAAGAGGACTGGCCCCAGTATCAAGCCCTGGGGAACGCCACTAGTGACTGGCCTCCAACTGAATTTGACTCCATTCACCACAACTATTTGGGCCCAGCCATCCACCTCAGACTGCTTCTTCCGAGCTCAAGATCAGAGCATCCCAACCCGTAGGAAGTCAAGAAAGGGAGCCAGGAGACCTGCATGGTTAAACAGGGAACTGTTGGGCAAAGTCCAGTGCTTCTTTGTCTCTGTCTATACTGCTGGAGGCTTTCCTAAAGAGCCCCAAACCCCTGAGTCCCCAGAGGTAGCCAGGATAAAGGAGGAGTTTGCCTTGGTTGATGAGGACCAATTAAGTAATCTGGGCTTCCATAAATCCATGGTCCTGATAGGATGCACCTTGTAGTTGCTGAGGGAGATGGCAGAAGTCATTGTTAGGCCACTCTCCATCATCTTTGGTAAGTCATAGGGAATGGGAGAGGTGCCTGAGTACTGGAGGAAAGCAAATGTCACTCTTTTCAGTCTTCAAAAAGGGCAAGAAGGAGGACTCAGGTAACTATAGACCAGACAGCCTCACTTCTATCCCTGGAAAGATGATGGAATAACTTATCCTTGGCACTGTCTTTAGACATATCAAGGATAGAGGGTCATTATGGGCAGTCAACATGACTTCACCAAGGGGAAGTCATACTTAACCAACCTGAGCACCTTTTATGAAGACATAACCAGGTGGATAGATGATGGTAAAGCAATGGGTGTGGTCTATCTTGATTTCAGTAAAGCATTTGATGCCACCTCCCATAGCATCCTCTCACCTAAACTGAGGAAGCATGGTCTGGACGATCGGGTGGTGAGGTGGACTGTGAACTGGCTGAAGGAAAGAAAACAGAGAGTTGTGATCAGTAGAATAGAGTCTAGTTGTAGGCCTGTATCTAGTGGAGTCCCTCAAGGGTCAGTACGGGAACGAGTACTATTCAATATATTCATCAACAACTTGGATGAGGGAATAGAGCTCACTGTCAGCAAGTTTGCTGATGACACTAAACTGGGAGGAGTGGCCGACACACCAGAAGGTTGCACTGCCATCCAGCGAGACCTAGACAGGCTGGAAAAGTGGGCAAGGAGAAATTTAATGAAATACAACAAGGGCAAGTGTAGAGTCCTGCATCTGGGAAAGAACAACCCCAGATATCAGTATAAGTTAAGGACTGACCTTAGGGGAAAGGGACCTGGGGGTCCTGGTGGACAGCAGGATGACCACGAGCCAGCACGCACCCTTGTGGCCAAGAAGGCCAATGGCTTCCTGGGGTGTATCAGAAGGGCTATGGTTAGTAGGTTGAGAGAGGTTCTTCTCCCCCTCTACTGTGCCCTGCTGAGACCACATCTAGAATATTGTGTCCAGTTCTGGGACCCTCAGTTCAAGAAGTACAGGGAACTGCTTGAGAGAATCCAGCGCAGAGCCACAAGGATGATTAAGGGAGTGAAGCATCTCCCTTACGAGGAAAGGCTGAGGGAACTGGGTCTCTAGATTGGAGAAGAGGAGGCTGAGGGGTGACATCATCAATGATTATAAATACATAAATGTGAGTGTCAGAAGAATGGATCCAAGCTCTTCTCAGTGATATGCAATGATAAGACAAGGGGCAATGGGTTCAAGCTGGAACATAGGCAGTTCCACTTAAGTAAGAGAAGAAACTTCTTCTCAGTGAGGGTGACAGAACACTGGAACAGGCTGCCCAGAGAAGTTGTGGAGTCTCTTTCTCTGGAGATATTCAAAACCCATCTGGATGCATTCCTGTGTGACCTGATCTAGGTATTCCTGCTCTGGCAGGGGGATTGGACTAGATGATCTTTTCAAGGTCCCTTTCAATCCCTAACCTTCTGTGATTCTGTGATTCTGCAATTCTGTGATTCTATTCTTCTAACAAAGGTAACAGTTCCAAGATAGATTTATTGTTGTGGGGGTTTTTTTGTTTGTTTGTTTGGTTGGTTGGTTTTTTTAATCCTTTATATACAAAGAAAGACAAATAGGTTAGAAAACAACCATCGTCCCCTTTACAGAGATTTCCTCTCTTCCACACCCTCAGTTTTCTTCCCTGTAGGTTCTGACAAAGGCACATACACTGTCAGAATTGTCTCACAAAAAAATATGCTTGCTGCAAAGCCAAAAATAAGTGAAATCATCCAGTAACAGAAGGACATAAAAACCGAGAAATTGAGAACACAGTGCATGTCTGCAGCTGAGTGTAATGATAACATATTGGACATTTTTTTGTGTCTATTACAAATAAACTTACAAAAATTCTTTTCTTTTCTAAGAACTAAAATTAGATTTTTTTTCTGTATGTCAGATGATACTAAAAATGCAGTTTTACATGTAGCTAAGTGACAAAGGTACAATAGAGCGAGTAATTGTAACAGGTACAGGACATGTTTAATAGAGGTGCTTTTTTTTCTTTCTTTTTTTTTTTTAAAAAAAAAAAAAGTCTGCCTTTCTTAGTACAAAGGGACAGCAGAATCCAACAGCATATGTTCATAATAATCCTCTGGACAACTGAACAATGTTTGCCAATATGCAGGTTGTGATTCTTCTCAGCAGTTCTAAGACTGCAGATGGGTACATGCCACTGGGACCCAGAGTGTGAGCCCCCTTGGCAAAATATTGGCACGTAGGCTAAAAATGATCAGTCACACTCTCAAGCTCTAATGACAATACTGACTAAATCTTCCTTGACTCAGGTGAAAGCTTAGACACTTTGCTCAGTATATATCGGTACATCACGGAAGCTAAAATATATGCAAGATGAATCCCCCTCCTAATGTCTAAAGACTTCTTGTTATAGATCTGCAACTTCTTCCTTCTGCATAGGAATCACATAAACAACTGTGGCATAGGCACTCTGCTGAACTTTTCCTGCATTCTCTTACCTTCTATCTCTCTCTCCAGATTCAAAGGAGCCTCTGATTCTGACCTTACCTAACATTAGTGAACAGGAAAGAGTTGGCTCAGTTTCTATCCATGCTACATGGCTCAGCTTCTATCCATGCTACATTACTCATCCCACCATCTACAAAGACACATAGTCATTCGTGGCAACACTGATCTATAGTATGAACTTCAACAATTGCATGAACAGCAGAATTCACAAGTCACCTTACCGAGTTGCCTTTTGCTTCTCAGGTTTTCTCCCCAAGAATAAAAAAAAATGACCAATAAGGATGTGTGAAGCAACAATACTTAGGATCATCTTCACATACTTCATTTATTCAGTTGTACGAGAGAAGAGTAGTAGGAATTACAAGGAATGCAAAAAATGATCTGATATCTCAGGTAATTCTTTTTCTCTGAGAACATGACTGCCATGTTTTCTCTGATTACTGAAGTTGCTCCTAAACGATTGACTAGTTTGGTAAAGAGTACTTTTATCAAAAAAAGCTGCAAATGGCAGCATTACTGACAGTGCAGCTGGGAACAGAATAGTCATTATGAGCCTTAAAGACTGATGTTTCTTCCAGCTGTCAAGCTCTTATTAATAAAGCTACCAAGGCTATCAGAGACTACCAAATATGAGCAAATCCGGAACAGACAAGCCTGCTGGTGTTTATGATCTAATATCATGACAAGAACAGGGGATGTTACAATGTATTGACAGTTCTTTCCATTGACAACAATTTGTAGCTCTTGTTTTGTATACATCTGATTTTTCACAGCCCATCACTCCTTTCTCCCAGTGCTCTTTGCAAATTTAGGATTACCTTTAGTCCATTGCAAAGTGACAATCTGGGGCACAGAAGGAAGTAATTTGTGTCTTGAAACTTGCCCTTTAGCATTTAGGAAGTCATGTTGAATACTGCTACACAGACCCAGTTTTTCTGAACCTCCCCTGCATATGTGTGTCTGTTTCAACACTTGTCCAAGAACATGGACTCAGGTACACACATATAACAGTTTCTTTCTGTTCCTACTTCCATATGTATGCTTATGGAAATTTTGTTTGTTTTTTAAAAACTTCTGTCCTTCCTGGTGTGTGTACACTCTTCAGTCTATTGGCACACCATTTTCTCCCAGATTGATTTATACACTATGCCGACGGTTGTTGATCATGGCCACAATGTGTGACAGATCCAAACTTTTCATCATAACCTCCATGAACTCCTCGTCTTTCCTTGCTCCTTCCACAAATTCATCCAGAGAAAGTTCACCTGTGTCAGGCACAAACAGAAGACCTCAGAATCATGCCGATCCACATTTGAACAGTAAAAAAAAGTACAGTAATCTGACATTAGGGACAACATGGTATACATACACTGTTCTCAAGCACCAAGAGGCCTGAGAGTCATTTTAATTTTATTTGAAACTTAGCCAATATCCAGGAACTCCAACTCTCACGTTTTTCCCTTCCAAGGGAAATATTTTGTACATTCAAGGGAATAATTTTATACATTACAAGAAATACAAGAAGTCTATGGCTAAGGAACAGGGTCATAGATTCCTATTTATAAGGCTGGATTAGTATACTTCTTTTTGGTGTAACCTGTCATACTGCTAAACCTGTCCCATAATTGCTGTTTTTCATGAAAAAGTGAAGTGACAGTAGGAAATTGTGCCAGTCAGAAATAGGTTTTCTGCCCTAGACCAATAAGACCTTGTTAAGGGAAGCAGCTCAGCAGAATTCTTCTGGAATAACAAGAACATATGATAAGATAAGCACATGAAGTAGCAAGGAAAGAAGTACCTCTCAGAGACATGCAACGATTACAGTGCCACTGAGTATCTTTTGGCTGACTGGTCCATAGCACTTAAAGTACTTGCTGTACAGCCTGTAACAGTCTCAGGGAAGGAATTCAGAACTTCAACATTAAATTCCAGTTCTTCCTTCTCCTGTTGCTGAAAGAGTTAGGAGCAGCTGGGAACACCTGATAGCCCAGCCCACTTCTACTTCTGACATAAGTTACACAGAAATGTACAAAAAGGAAAGAAAAAACAAACCCTACAAAACTATTGTGGAGAAAATGTAGCTAAGAATTAGTACCAGGGAACAAATTCTATAGTAGTGATTATGTATGATTCAAGGAGAAAAGTGTCTTAGCAAAATTCATGAAAACTGGATTAATGTAACAAGCAAATATAAAATGAAGAACCATAAAGTTCAAGAAAGAAAACATGGATCTCTCTCTTTAGCACTGAGACTATCTAAGTAGGATGACAGACATAGCATTCTCACCATCTCCGTTCACATCAATTTTGTTGAAGACTCTGTTGGTGAACTCTTCTGCACTAGTTTCATGGTCACCACCATTGATAGCCCGAATAGCCTAAAAGAAAAAAGCAAGAATGGGAAGCTGCCTATTGACTCCCAGAACAATAGACTACTTCATTGCAGCCTGTCGGCATAGATTCAGAACAAGGTAGTCATGCATGGTACCTTTCCATGCCATAATCATAGGAAAAACACAGCAGAAATCATTTGGCCTTATGGTTTGCACTGAAGGGTATGAAAGAAGAGTGCTTCTGGAGCATGTAATGAGCAGTTAAAACCAGAGGACTGCCCTAAATCTGCTTAGGTAGAGCTTAGGCACTGCAGATATGGCAGAATCAGGATCACGGCCACTTACCCAGACACACCTAACTTAAGCCACCTATATTCACAGATATAAGATGACCATCTGTGCTACCTCTCAACAAAATAAGAATATTGATAGACACATTTCTGGAGACCAATTTACTCTGTACTGAGAACTATTAGATGGATATCGTGAATGTCTCTCTACAGATGCCCATTTCAATGCATCCACTGCAGCCAAACCGTGCCAGATCTAAAAGTAGATTATCATTTTTCAGGTGTGAAGTGAAGATGGAATAAACTACCCCTTCAGAATCTGACAGGTTAAAAGCAAAACATTCAAATCTATCTGTGAAGCACTGGATATAAAAAGATCACTCGCAGCCCTTTGGGATTTCATACTCCACACAGAAAATCTTGCTAACAGTTCATATTATCTAGTATCATTGCGAATGCTATGCATTTTTTAAGTATTCCACACATTAATTGATTGAGAAAAAGCATGAAAATACTCTATTTTCTGTGTGAATCTTCCTAGATTCCTCTGTAGTTAAACATGATACAAAGACACAATTTAACTTCCTTACATGCCTTGTTCTTTTGATAATCCACCTTCTAGTACCCTATGGTGCACTAAGCTCAATAAACACTGTCAAACATTCTTTGCATTTGACATTCTGAAATTCTTTACTATGAGGGCAGTAAGAGAGGTTGCCCAGAGAAGTTGTGGATGCCCTGCCTCTGGAAGTATTTATGTCCAGGTTGGATGGGCCTTTGAGCAATCTGGTCTGGTGGAAGGTGTCCCTGGCCATGGCAGGGGGGTTGAAATTTGATGATCTTTAAAGTCCCTTCCAAACCAAGACATTCTATGATGCTATGCAGTAATGTGGTAAAGAAGACTGCTAAGTCTGCTTATTGGACTATGAGATTGTAGGGAAATCTGCTAAAAAAATGCTTTTATAGAAGATGTCAACCATGATCATCCATGTGAGGAATGTCAGAAGTCCTACTTGTGTGGTGGAACTTCTCTTGGAGGGGAGGGGAGGGGAGGGGAAGGGAGGGGAGGGACCGCTGGAGACTCACCTTAATGATGTTCAGCAATTCATGTCGATCAATGCAGCCATTGCCATCTACATCATACAGTTTGAAATACCACCGCAATTTCTGTTCCATCTTCCCACGGAGAACAAGGCTGAGGGCAGCCACATATTCCATGAAGTCAATATATCCATCCTGTGGCAAAACAAAAACCAAGTTGTGACAGGAACAGGGGGAATTGTGTCTCTGGAGCTGCTTTACCTTATTCCTGTGTAGATTTACAGCTAAAAGAGAATAACAAATGTCACAGAAACGCATATGTATGTACAAGCTTTAGAACAAGTATATGTACACACACTTATTTTCTGGTCGCCTTTAAGATGTCCTAAACATCTGGATTCCTGTACTTATGATCTATTACATGTCTAGGATACTCTGTCATCACCAATTGCAGATAGAACATGTCATTCCTTGTGGCCAGTGCTCTTTTTACAGTAAGGGTTCGTAATCCCTAGATTTTACACTGACTAAAATTTATATTAGTTAAGACAGAAAAAAATAAAGTGCATATGTTCCTCAGTTCTGAGTAACTACTTCAACACATTGCAAAAGAAAAAAATGAAACTTTTATTTACTGAGGTATTTAGGCAAAGTCAGATGCCTTTCTGGAATACATGTAAATATATGTAAAATGCAAATGTAGGTAGACTAGCAGAGCACTACTGTTTTACAGCAAGGACCACAATATTTTAGAATATTCATTCAGGATCATTGCCATATTCCCATTACATGAGTTTTTCATAACTTCATTGAGCAAAATAACAGAAAACACAGATAACCAACTTTCAATATGGGAAGGAGAGGATAATTGTAATTTACAAAATAGCTCAGTTGAAAATTTTTATTCTTTGCCCTCAGCAGAGTTCTCAGAATCTGAATGTCCAGGTAGGTGATTTCATCCAGTGTCGATATCTGTATTACTGCAGGGTGGCTCTTCCCCTGGGTGCTTTTGTTCCTTGACATTGATTATAAAATGAAGTTAGATTAAATGGCTTTTAACAAGCTAAGATTAACTGATTTAGGTCCATCCCCACTGGTTGTCACACTCCTATTTCACTCCTCTTGAAATCATTTTCTTCGGATGATAGCTCTTTATCTTGATATGATCTCATTTGAATTTGAAACTTTTATTAAAACATTGTTCAGTGCTTAACTTGGAGCTCATGAGGAACTTTGAACAGTGCAACATTTTTGAACAAATATTCAAATCCTTAAACTTCTCAAGAAATGACAGAGGTAAAGGGAAAAGCTTGTGCAAGAACTGTAAACGTGTTAGTTTAGTTTATAAAACTGCTTCTCATCACTATCCTGGGCACTGAGAACATTAGAATGAGAAAGAATATTATTTGATGTCTGCAGTCACTTGCAGTCATTACATCCACCACAATATCTCAGCAATCCTAATGGAGTCTAGCTGCTCCTCTCTTACCTTTCTGTAGTAATTTTCCAATATTCTTTAGCATTCCTTAACTCCATATGCCTTCTTACATTGTCCAAACTGCCATTCCTTCCTCAGTCCCCAGCCTTTCCTTCTTCAAAATTTACCCTGAGATTTACCACCTGTTTCACATGTCTCAGCACCCAGTTCCTCCTTGATTTGGGCTATTTCAGAATGTTGGAACAAGGAGCAGAGCTGAATTTTCCTGTGTTGCTGTATGAGCAAATTTATCTGCCATTGAGATTGCAGGCCTGCAAGCACAGGATGAAGTACATACAGATAAAAAAAAAAAAAGGCAAAAATAAGGGACATTTAATGATTAAAGACATTATGGGAGCTACTGTTTTTTACATGAGACAGCCAGAGGTCACCTGTCACAGTGAGAAATTCTACCTGCCTCCTAGCTGCTGCTATGTGCTCTACCTCCTACTGCTGAGGAGAGCCATTGAGACAGATTGTCTCCCCACGCAAGACTTATTTCATCTGTGAAATAACTGGAAATTACTTCCTCTACAAATGTTATAAAGATTTCTATTGTCTTTGAATCATGTAGTCTCTACTATCTAACATGCATATTTTTGAAGAATAGTAAAAGGCTTTAAAAGCTCTAGATTTCAGCATCATCTCTTTCTATTAGCATTTTGCTAGTCAAACAAGGCCAAACCAATTAAAACACTATAAGGAATTCTTAAAACTCAAAGGTGAACTTGAACAAGGCAGTTAGATAATGCGGTGCTATTACCTATGGTTGTTATCTATGCCATTATCTATACATGTTAACTTGCCCCTTACATTCTGCTACTTTACATTGACATCCCTCAGCTCTTTTGAAAAAATAAAAAATAAAAAAAAAACACAGGGACTCCCAAAATTTGCAAGACTTGCTTTACTTTAATCAGTACAAGGCATTTCATTTTCTTGCTATGTAACTCACCTTATTCATATCAAATGTGCGAAACATCTGCTCAATGTATTCATTGGCCTGTGGATCCAGCCCTCGAAGCCCAAAGAACTGTTTAAATTCATGCTCTGTCAGCTGTCCAGAAGGACACTCCGTCATGAACTTTTTGTACCAGTGGTGGATCTCAACAGCCTGCAGATCATCCACTGTGGAGCTGCTATTGTTCCCCATATGTACGTGTGTTCAGAAGAATGGATGTTATAGGAATGATCCTCTTCGTCCTGTAGCTCTCACAGCAATGCCCGTTTGCTCCTTTCCACATTCAACATTAGACTTAGATAAGTAAAGATCTAACCTTCCCCAAGCCAATTATAAATGTTAATCTTCTTAAATGCTGATTTACAAACCTGAAAGTTTCAATGATACAAACAGTCTTCTTAGAATGGAAAGAAGGTGTGAGATAATCTAGTAAATCACTGCTATTTCAGGAGACAAATCAGAAGGGGTGAGAAGGTTAAGCAGATACATCAGGAGCTATACTGGTTTTGTACACTACCCTATTTTTAACATTAATATAAGTACACATGAAGATGAGAGGAAAAAGCTACAAGATGGGGGGTTTGATGTGAAGATCTGCTCCTCTAAGTGAATTTGAGAGTCTTCTCAGCTAGAGAACTTGAATAATTTAGAGTATAGGACCAAAACAATTCACATAAATGTCTCCTCATAAGAATTAGGCTATGTGGGAAAAATAACTCATCTCCACACACATGAAGGGGACACAGAAGAACAACAGCAGGTGAGGGAACCAAAATAATCTGATCTGGCTAGCCCCAGAAACACTACAGAGCGGCAATCAACCCATAAAAGACTCAACTGCACAAACAAGAAGGAGCAAAACGAGACAGTAACAGGGAGGGAACCCCATTAACCTAGTAAGAGAAAATAAGCCCCTGCCTCAGCTTCTCCTAAGGCTGTCATAGGGTTCCCATCAGTCCCATCAGCCTGAAGGTGACACCCCTCACCATGAGTCAATTGTCAGAGTACCTTGCTGACTGGAGAGTTACTGCACAGGAGCATAGAAAACATTGTGGGTTGCATGGCAAGCACACTGGGGGGATTGCACAAGACTATGAGATGGTTAGGGGAGGAACCAAGGGTAGGGAAAGGGATGGGTCTAGGTGGTCTGGGAAGGAACAAGCATGGCAAAATAGTAGGAAAATGGACTAAAGGGGCTGGTTGAATGTAAACATTGCTGTTTAGTATGCATGCCCTGCACCAGATCAGCACAGTCTTTCCTGACTTCTTATTGAACTCTAGAGTTCTAGGGATGCTTGAAGACTCTTGTCTTCTAATTAAACATTCAGGGATCTTGGATTGCTAGCTGACAGCAGGCTCAACATGAGCAAGCAGAGTGCTCTGGCAGCCAGAGCACTCAGTTGGGCCTAGGAGCATGGAGCTGTAGCAGCCTCTCTTCTATCAGGACAGGAGATCTGACAGCTCCTAGCAATAGCACAGAAGAATCAGCGACAATTACCTGCTTTACTTAGGAATAGTTGCAATTCCAAGTTTTTTCCTCAAAAACTGGTTTCTGTTAAAACACAGTAATAGTTTATTTTTATAGTGTAATTTCCTAACAAACAACTCCTCAAACATAAAGACTTTTTAATAAAACACAGAGAAGTAATTTTAGATGATGAAACAATTAACAGTACTAAACAATCCATGTACTTATCTTTTATGGCTAGTATTGTATAACAATGTAAGTAGTACATAAATTCACTTTCTCAGTGTAGTGGGTTTACGTGGCAAGGTTTTGGTAGCAGGGGGCCATAGGGGTGGTTTCTGTGAGAAGGATCTAGAAGCTGCCCCATGTTTGGGAAGGGCCCCACTGTTTTCCAGAACTGAGCCAATAAGCGATGTTGTTTTGTGCCTCTGTGAGAGCATATTTAAGACAGGGAAAAAAAAACGCTGCGCCACACAGCAGATGGGAGAGTGAAAGTGAGGAACAGCCTTGCAGGCACCAAGGTCAGTGTAGAAGGAGGGGGAGAGGTGCTCCAGGCGCCGGAGCAGAAGTCCCCTGCGGCCTGTGGTGAGGACCATGGTGAAGCAGGATGTCCCCCTGCAGCCCATGGAGTACCACGGTGGAGCAGGGTTCCACGCTGCAGCCCGTGGAGGAGACCACAGTGGAGCAGGTGGCCCTGCACCGATGGAGGCTGCCGCCTGCGGAAGACCCCTGCCGGAGCAGATTCCAGGCCGGACCTGTAGCCCGTGGGGAGGAGACCACGCAGGAGCAGGTGACCTGGCAGGAGCTGCTGCCCGTAGGGGAGCCAGGTTGGAGCAGTTTTCTCCTGAGGGATGGACCCTGTTATAAATTGCCCCCTTAATTAATTTTCAGAGAGCATTGCATTAATAATAGAAAGGAATTTATTGAGTAAGCAACAGCAAGCAAAACAGCGCTGGGCGGCCGGGGAGTCTCGGCTCCGCCAATGGCGCGCACCTCACCCCCGCCAGGGTCCCTTTTTATATCTTGGTAATTCCGGGATTACGCAGCACATCCTGGTATATTCTGCGACTGCGTACACTGTTGCTAGGGGGTCGTCTCTGTCCCTCTGGTGGTCGTGAAGATGAAGGCCACAGTCTTCCTCGGCGTTGTGGTTCAACTTCTTTTTTTTTATTTGGTCATGTTGGCCCAGCGTGAGACAGAAAGGCAGGATGTTGATACACTAGGTTAGCAACTTATCAGGAGATGGTTACATGAGCTTTGCAGCAGTGTCTTTAAACAAAAGAGGCAACTGAGATGCAGAAGGAGAAAAGAGGGGGGGGTTCTCTTTTTTGTTACATTAAGCAAAAGAATTTTCATAGTGTCTAGCCAAGCATTATACAGCTCCTTACTTCAGCAGGGAGTTTTCACAACTCCCGTTCCTCAAACAGAACTCCTTGTTTTTATAATACAAAAGACAATGAACAAACATTTATTGTGTATTACAGACCCCATGGTACGGACCCATATCTGGAGCAGTTCTGGAAGAGCTGCTGCCTGTGGGAAGCCCACGCCGGATCAGTTCGTCAAGGACTGCATCCCGTGGGTGGGACCCCACAGCACAGGGGACGAGAGTGACCGAGAAGGAGTGTCAGAGAAGTGCAGTAGACTGACCATAACCCCCATTCCCCTGTTCCCCTGCACCACTTGGGGGGAGGAGGTGGAAGAGGGTGGATGGGGGATGGGGGAAGGTGCTTTTGGTTTCTTTCCTTTGTTTCTCACTTCTCTAGCTTGTTAGTAATACACAATAAATCTTACTATCTCCTTATGCCAAGTCTGTTTTGCCCATTACAATAATTACTGCATGATTTTCTTGTCCTTATCTCAACCTTTGAGCCCTTTTCACATATTTTCTCCCCATTCCTCATTGAGGAGGGGGAGTGAGAGAGTGGCTGTGGTGGAGCTTGGCTGCCCACTCGAGCGGAACCACAACACTCAGGAGCGTATTAAATCAATGCAACAAAACTATGCATAACAAATGTTTCAGTTATTTACACTGAAGCATTATATAATTAAAAAAAAGAAAAACACCACAACATCATTGTGACCGTTCAAAAATGTTGGTGTTAGTGAATGTAGCGAGATACTATTGGAACTGAGCCCTGAAAAATATCAATGGTAATTCATGTAAGACAAACATAAGTACATGAAGAAGATAGCTTCTGTCTCTGTTAGAAAACATTACTAAACATTCTTAAACTTAGACTGCAGTGTCACATTCAAAATCTTGTTTATGGGCAAAGAGGAAGAACACTTTATGTAAGTATGTAAAGCCAATAATTTATTATTAGTGTAATGGAAATTTTAATAGTCTAATTCAAGAATCGTCGTAACTCTAGATCTAAATACAGAAAAAAAATAATATAATGTTTGAGTACTTATACTCAGGTAAAAGTTGTACTAATAGCAATGATACAATCAATATTGCAAAACACACATATGGTTTCAACAATATTTCTGGTTTTACATTCACCAGACCACTGCTCTGGGTCCTAAGGTCTGCGGTTCACTGTAGTGTTAGCGGTGGGGAGGTGTCATGTCAGTTGTCAGCATCTTGAGCCCTTCACTGGGAGGAATATGACATCCTTGTTGATGGTTTCCTTCACCTTTTTTTCCCTTTCTTCTCTTTCCTTCCCCTTAGGCTTACTTATCTACATTTTGGAACCTACATTACACCTTTCTTCACTGATCCGCAGCTCCACATCTGAATTTATTTGGTATGGTGCCCTGCACACGTATCAAAACCTGTTTTGTCCAGCTGTACATTTTTAAACTAATCATTAGTTACTTGTTTATAGACAAGGAGTCTCCAGCACTGGAGCCTGAGCCATACCTCTTGTTATCCTGCACCTGTTCTCTACACCAAATACTGTCTCTACTTCTCAAGACCTCAGCTGGTGTACCAGACCTGTATTTCTCTACTCTGCATCTAATGTTACGAGTTTTAAATATCTTTCTAGAATAACTGCTTGTTATTACTACCTATATGAAACTATAATTATAACCCACAAAGACAAACAAAAGTAAAACAAATTAGCCACAGACACCTGATAATTATAGAAATTGCTCTCACATCTTAACAAAGTGAAACAAAACCAGCGGCAGACCGCAAAGGTTCAGACAAGCCTCAGTCCTGCAGCCTGATGAGCTCAATACAGAGCCTGTGCCCTGTTCCTAGCTATAGCAATGCCCTGTTACATCGTGGTCACATCGGCAGCAGAAACACCAGCGTGTTCGAGCGTCTCCCCTAACACAGCCGGCAATCAGCGCCGAGCCTGAGCCGCCCCTCAGCGCTCAGAGCGGGGCTGGCCGGGGGCGGGGCCGCCTGAGGGGGCAGGCCGGGCGCGGGGCAGGCCGGGCGCGGGGCAGGCCGGGAGCGGCTGGGGACCGGGCGTCCAAGCGTCGGGGTGGCCCCGCCCCCGCGCGCGGACGAGACGCACAGCCCCGCCCGCCGTCCCACCGCACCCCTCGGCACGCCTCAGAAAGCCTTGGCTAACGGGTTGCTTCCTCGTTACCGGGCGGGCCCGCGAGGCCTCCTCGGGATTGGTGGGTTTGTGCTGTGTGTCAGCGCAACCGCGGCGCCGAGGCGGATCCTTCGCAGCGATTGGCTGAGCGATGTCCTGCGCCCCGCAGCCGATTGGCTGTTCTCCGGCGGGTAGGCGGGGCCGGACGGGAGGCGGAAGCCACG